TTACAAGCGTGGATATTATTTAGCTGATGGAATATATCCGGATTATTCCACGATTGTCAAATTTTTCTCCGGACCAATGGGTCTTAAACGCCAAACCTACAAAAAAAGCTCAAGAAGCAGCGGGAAAAGATATTGAACAAGCCTTTGGGGTCTTGAAGGCTAAGTGGCACATTCTAGATCGTCCGTCGAAATGTTCTTCTCAGACAAAAATGAGGAATATCATGTACGCATGTATTATTCTTCATAATATGATCATAAAGGATAACGGGTCTGCGATTTGTCAATACAACCCGGACGAGGAGGTGCCTATGTACGAAGAAATCACCGAAGAAAAGAAACTACGCAACCGCCAAGAAATTCGAAGCCGAGAGATTCACAATGCACTAACGGCGGATTTGATCGAGCATATCTTTAGTCGTTCGAATAATTAGTGATTTCTTTGTACTATTGTTTTTTTATGTAATTTTTTTTAATGAATGTAATTTTTTTTAATGTTTTTTTATGAATGTAAGATTGTTTTTATAATGAATTTAATTTTTTATGCACTAGTGTCATTGCGATTAATTAGAATAATAAATTAATTTAAGTTTATTAATTTAAATTTAGAAGATGTATATTTAAAAATGTAAAAAATGATGGTTTGAAGCCCCGGGGCTTCAAAACCATTTCCAGTGAATTTTGGGTGTAAGTTAAAGCTGACGTGGCAGAGAGAGAAAGTTTGAAGCCCCGGTTTGAAGCCCCGGGGCTTCATGACCATTACCAATATTCTAATGGGCAATGCTAGGGGTACACCAACATGGGGTACCCCAAGTGTACACCAAGCCAACACAGACACACACAGACACAAAATGTTTGTGCAACACAGACACTTTGTGTCTGTGTGTGTCTGTGTTGACTTGGTGTACACTTGGGGTACCCCATGTTGGTGTACCCCTAGCTTAATTCATGCTCTAATATGGCAATAGTAAGGGGGCGTGATGGGGGTCACAGACAAGGATAGTTGGGTAATGCCCCATAACACAAGGTCTGAGCGAAAGAAGTGTTTAAATAAGGATATTTTTATTTTTTTAAATTTTAAATAGGCTTCAAAAAAAATTAAATGACCGTTGAAAACAGTCAAAAAAATGCAACTGGAAGCAAACACGGCAAACGAGGAAGGGAACCCGTCTTTCCCGTTCCCAGATAGGGGGGACTCAGGTGAGCGGTGTTCCCCTACTATTCTTGCTGCCACATAACCTTCCCATTCCCTTCGAGCCGGGCGCACCGCATGGACTTAGAAGGTAAACGAAACCCCTCTCAGTCCAAAGCCTCTAAATATGAAGGACACGTTGGGTCTATCTCACGATTTGTATTGGGCCCGATATACATCAACTATAATACTAAATTAATTATAATTACCCTGTAATAAAAAAGTTACAATGCATTAATTGATCTATTTAATTAATTTGTAAAAAAATTATCTTATTAAATTAATAATAATAGCTTCTTATTTGTTGTTATTAGGTTGATGACTATCAACTTTTGCCTTTTTATATGAATAGCATTTGATTTTTAATTAATTATTAATTGAAATATGTTTAATTTGACACAAGAAATCAACTTTGTAGTGAGAGAAAGAGGGAGTGACGTGAGAAAGAGATCTCTTCACCAACCGCTACTCACCTATTCTAATTTTAGCTGTTTCTTTGCTAACTTTTACGAAAAATGTGTTGCTAGCTGTTCTCTAAAAGTCTAAACCCTCTTCCCGTCACAACTCACGACCATTTTGGTGTTGCCAACTTCTTTTAAATTAATTTATTTAAAATTTAAAATAAATTATCTCTTCTGTCTCAAAATATTTGTTTACTTTTGATTTTTTAGTTAAAATTGACAAATTTTAATCTCAAATAAAATAAAAGTGATATGAATAAAAAACAAAGCACTCACAAAATACACAAACTTACTATTTGTATATTTAAGTTTTTATTTTTTAATTATTTGAAACTATCACTTTGCATAATGAGTAAGTTTAATTTGTGTATTTTGTAAAAGTTTGCCTTGTGACTCTAGCATTAATAATGATATAATGGGAATATAATTAAAAGTAAATTTCATAAAAGGTCCACAGTTATAGGTCATTTTATATATTTAGTTCATACATATCAAATATTGCTAATTTAGTTCCCAATTACGGAGTATTATATTATTTTTTACGAATGGTCCTTTGTTAACGTTTTTGTTAAGAACATGGATAAAATTGTATATTCATTCTTTTCTCTCTCTCTATTAAGCTTTCTTCCTCTCTCGTACTCTTTTCCTAAACTCGTCACTGAGTTTGAAGGTCTAAATCCAAAATTGAAATGATCACTCTTCTCTCAATTATTAGTCTTCCTGGTGGAACCCAAAATCAAAATCAATAGGCTTTATGGATGAATTTTATCGGTTAGTCTCAAAAAATTACATAAAAAATAAACATTAAACCGATCCATGAGGGTTACTGGTTTCGAATTTTGGTTCCACCCATTCAACAAACAATTGAGAGAACAGTGATAATTTCAGTTTTGGGTTCAAAGCTTCAAACTCAGCGACAAGTTTGGAAAAAGGAGTGCGAGGGGAGAGAGGAAGCTTAATTGAAGAGAGAAAGGAGTGTGAATTTTCAATTTTATCCACATTCTTAACGGAAATGTTAACAAAGGAACATTTGTGGAAACAAATATAATAATTAGGGACGAAATTAGTAATATTTGATATGTAGGGACTAATATGTAAAACAACCTATAATAGGGAATCTTTTATGAAATTTACTATATAATTAATAAACGGAGACATGTATTTTGGTGAAATCAGTACAAACTATACAAAAGTACTTCCTCCGTCCCCTTAAGATCTTCTCGGTTTGACTCTTTGTGGTTTTTAAGGAGCGTTGAAAAAAGATACAAATTTACCAAAGTACCCTTAATGAAAATAGATAGACTATATTAAATGAGGTGAGTGAGGAGTAATAAATAAAGTAAGTGGAGATAGTTAAGTATTTTAAATATTAAAAAGGGTAATAAAAAAGACTAATAAGATAATCAATTGGGGACGGAGAGAGTATAACCCATTGTTCTGAAAATTGAACCGGACGTCGACCCGAACGAGATAGGTGAAGGATTAATTAGTCGAACTGAGGGTCAATGACCCAGTCAAATGTGTTTATAATTATGATATTTTATATTATATGTTAGATATTTTAAGTCAATAAAAATATTTTAATTATTTTCATCTAATTCTTAATATCATAGTATATATACTATTTAACACCTTATATTTTCTATTCTATTATTTTTATTATTATTAAAAATAAATAATGAATGTCTAATAAATACCTAAATAATAAAGTGATACTCATATTTTCAAAAAAATAAAGACTAGATAATGTATTCTTATATACAATTGACATTTTAAATCTTATGTTTAAAGTGTAACATAACTTGGCAAAAAAATCAAATTAAGATGATCTATTTTGGAAGGAGGGTGTATTTATCTTGGCAGCTGGGGTTCAAAACCCACGATCACAATACTCTGTCCATCCATAGTTTATTTAAATTGTTTAGGGCCGATTTGGAAATAGCGTTAGAGACTAGCATTAGCGTTTTGAATAAAATCTTAACGGTGCAGATTACTTTGAAAATGTTAACGTTAAACGATGGCAGTAGATAACCTTTTCAAAACGCTTACGCTAATCTCTAACGCTATTCCCAAACGGGCCCTTATTCTAAGTAAGCTATTGGTATTTATATACTCCGTAATTTTGTAGATCTATTATAAGTAAATCAAAAGCTAAATGTCATTGTTTAGCTCCTTAATAGTGTTTTAGCTTCTAACTTTTTTTATCCCTGCTCCAACCATGATATTGATCATATTCTACACTTTTCTTGTATTTTTTATTATTTAATGAACATAAATATATTTATAGAAATTACCCTAAATAGGACTAAAACATAACAAAAGTACCAAAATAAGACTTTCATGTTTTTTTTTCCGAAATAGGACTTTGCACTGTGGTAATGTGACTTTGCACTGTGATAATGTGGCAGTGTACATGTGCACATTACTATACTTTTTTGGTAAAGTATATGACCATGTTTGGTAATGTAAATCCTATTTTGGGAATAAAAACTCCTGTTTTGGTATATTTTCAATGTTTTAGTCCTACTTTGTTCTTTCTCCAATATATTTAATACTTTTTAACAATAAATTTGAAAACTAATTTGGTTTTCCTTTGTGGACAAGGAATCAAGAAACAACATACGGCAATTTCAAAACAAAAAAAAGCATCCGACAATTCATCGCAGAAACAACAAATTTGAAAACCTATTTGAACAAATTTGTAGATGACAGTGTTGTTATCAAGCAGCGTTATGACAGCTTGCAGATCAAAGAAACACAACACTAGTTCATCCAAATCATTGTACATGTAGCAGTAAGCCTAAAACATTATACAGTTACAGCGAGGATATGAACCTTAAGTGCGAGCATTGGTCTTTTGAGTGTTTGTAAAGACATACTTTTGAAACACAAGCTTAGCGCTCTTCGCAGATAGAGATTGAATCAAAGATCCAGTTCAATTTTTCGCCCAATGATAATAAATGAAACACTATGATCTATAGAGATTGTATGAGAGAAAGAGACTTGGGTGATGGAGAGTGAAAGGAGACATTGAAAGAAAACCATACAAAGGAGATTCAATTCTCGCGGATGAACCGCCACCGAGTGAAAATCATACAAAGAATGTATATGGATTTGTAATTAAGCTATACCATGAGTGAGAGGAATTTGGCTAAAATTGAAGCCCAAATTTTTAGGATTTCCAAACATGGTATTTGAGAATACTTATATTAGTTGGGACTTCCCTCTCAACAAGTACAATAACCACCATTTAACAACGTAGCCTGGAGTAGAAAAGCATTAATGCAGTAATAATGATATGTTTATATGGGGCATTGAATTTCTAAAAGGAATTAAAACCCATGCCATAAAAGAGCAAGTAAAATTTAATGTGAGCATGTAATTGACTGATTAGAAGCTAGCAGCTTACATTTTACGACGCAATGAGTGAATGGTATAGTACCTTCTGTCAAAGGAATACAACGGGCTTTAAGGCTCATAAGCTTGGGATCATCAGAGGAATCAGCAGCCATTTCACAATGCTTGGCAGCATCAGATACATCACACATCCATCCTGTTAATCAGAAGTACCAAGCACGACAGAGCATTTACAAACAGAATCACTTAATCCCAATATAAGTAAGTAATTCTTCTCCTTCAACTGGAATAAACTCCAATGAAGAAACTCCAATTGCATGCCTTCAAACATATCACTGTAGGAACACTTTCTGTCATAAGATCATAGTGTCATTATGGCTATTGTTAAGCGGGTGTGGAGATTTGTTTGAACGGTTCGTTTGACAGCTAAACTGATTTTAGAATTTCTTTTTGTACTTGGAGTTTCTATATTTTAAAATTATTGGTCCAGCTATAGGGAGAGTGGCCATGGAGAGGATTGAAACTGCTCACACGGTCATGCAAGAAACACCGACAGACAGCGGCTAAGGAGCTCGATCTTTTAAAACCTTAGATCTGGCTTCCTTCACAAAGAAATCAAAAATTTGTTAACTGATAATGATCGAAAAAGATTGAAAATAAATTGTAAGCATTGTATTTTCTTCATGTGTTATTTGATTATTGACTTTTACTTGGGGAGTTTTAGACAATAATAACCATACAGGAGATAATTGTTAGAAGATCCTCTTTATAAACATCCCACATACACAGAGAATACAAAGAAAAAGTGAAAATGATTGTTGATGACTAAGGAACGTGTATATCAGTCATTAGATCTTAGTTTGATTATTCTAAGTAAAGACTACAAATAACATATTACAATATGTGATGTGGTTGATAGGTCCATTAGTTCATATATGCTGGGTTTGTTGTGATAAATAGATGCAAGTCATTCATGGCCGGTTTAATATTGTGGAGGGGGTTATAGTTAGTAATCACATCATCATTGGTGATTTGCCTCTTTTTATGCAATAGATGTTAAGAGATCATTGTTTTGATAAAATAGAATTCTTTTTGTGCGTTTATTTTCTTTTGTATCATTTTCTTGCTACTCAAAAAAAACCTGCACACACCACATAACAAAGCATTATTCTTTCAAAAAACAATTGTTGATATGAGGAATAAGTTAGAGATCACAGAAATAGAGAAAATAAAAGACTTTAGACAGTCATGATTGATGAACTAATAGTACATTTAATTTTAGCCTTTGCGAATGAAATGAAAATGAGAATTTTAAGAGGGAATGTGTTATTTCATAGTTTTTGCACAATCTTAAGCGATTAGAGAAACACCAGACAATATAAAGTGCATATAAATATATTACCGTAGCTAAGTTCTCAAACCTCCAGGATAGGTAGATCACAGATTCAGTTGCACCAAGAAGAGGAGATCCTGAAACCAAGCAAAGACATTAATCTAAGCTAAGTTGTGACTGTATTCTACAAACTTGAGTCTTAATAAATGAAAAATGTACGGATTAGTAAACAAAAAATAGATATGCAAATGAATAAACTAACAGTGTCATAGTAGCAGTCCACCAGTTGTCCTGCACAGCACTTTCTGTGTATCTTAACATCAACATCTACACTTGGGATGCTACCTTAAGAGGAGATCCTTAAGTGAATGCTACCTTAAAAGACCTGCTTATGCTACCTGAAATGACCTTCAATCATAAATAACTCCCCTTCCAAGTGAAGGAAAGCCCAAATCTTGCTTGTTTGGTTTCAAAATACTGTCATGTATTTCGATCTGCCTACATTAAAAAAATGGTTGTGAGTCTATGACAGGGGATAAAATGGCTAGAATGAAATAATCCAAAAACATAGGACCCACTGCCAAGTGAAATATCCTCAAAAATGTATGTTAGTAGAATCCAGACATCACAAAAAACAAAAACAAACAGAATTTTGAAGAACATGGCATCACCTATGAACTGCCATCTTCAACAGAACTAAACTCCAAGAACTAATGTACATCAGAGTGATGGGAGTCCTAACATATTACTATATTCTAGTAGTTAAAAAACTGAAATATCTAACCTAATATCAGTTTTTGAGGAATGTAGACGTGAGTTACCATTTTCATTATGTCTCCAACCTTGTTCCAATCTAGGACCCAAAAATCAGGATCTGAAATTTTATACCTAAAATATGAAAATCTCAATCCAGCGACAAAAGAAATTGGTAAGAAAATGAAGAAATTGTAAAAGCATCTTGGTCGGAACCTTAAAATTAGAAAGAAAAAAAAATTCCAATCAGCGGCGAGGCTACTTACCCATGGCAGTGCTCTCTCTCTCTTTCGCCGTCTCTCTCTCTCTGGCGAAGTGCCGATTGGAATTGGACGCCGGAAGCCTCCTTTTCATTCGCCTCTCTCAATTTCAGCTACGGCAAAGTGCTGAGCGGAAGCCTCCTTCTTACTCGTCTCTCTCTCAGGCTACGGCAAAGTGCTGGAATTGGACGGCAGAAGGCTCCTTATTCGTTCATATCCGAATGTGGGTCCAAATCCAGCAGCTACTGTAGCTTATCAAATGGGCGGGAATACTGTTCATAAACTCATCTTACCATTGTATATAGTAAGATATCGTAGATGTTTTGAAAATCGCAATGAACAAAGATTTTGAGAAGATAGTGTTAAGTCTGGATATAAACAATTCAATTGTGTTGGTGCCTAAACAATTCAAGATTTCAATTTCTTGGAAAAGAGATTTTGAGAAATTGGTTATCAACAAGAAAACAACCCTGCACTCACTCAAAATGGTTTTTATGTAGCCATACGAAAAATTTGGACTAACACTAGTCCTGGCTTGAAATGTACTGATGATATAAGAGATTTTTTACACTTAGGGGGTGTATTCAATTGAGATTGTATTGGATTTTTTAGACTCTACAAAGTGAATTTGAAAAATCAATAGATTCCATGTAGAGTTTGTCCAACTTTTTTATTGATTTAAGATAGATTTTATAGACTCCATGGATTTATATTGGAAATTTTGAGGCGCATTCCCTTATGGCAATCCGGCATGTAGATTGGAAGCAAAGGCTCCATGCCAGCAAAGACTCTGATCCAGCCATGGCAGCTGCAAAATTTGAGAAGACATGGGAAGAAGAAAGAAACAAGAAGCCATTAATGGAGGACATGAATTGGGAGCAAAGACTCCATGCCCTAACCCACATCATAACCAGCCCCACGCCGTCGCCGCCGCCGCTCCACTCCCAGTACTTCATCGCCGCCCAAGTTCCCTGCTACCTCAATTGGCACGCCACTCCTCTACCCCAAGCCCCTCATCCACACCAAGTGGGCCCTCTCCTTCTTCCTCAGGAACCTCTCCGCCGGCTCTGAGCGCCCGGAAAACTCGTGGAGGTCAAAGTCCGTACAACGTCCCGCCGCCGGTGGTGCTCACCGGAGGAGTGGAAGCGGCGGCATGGGGGGATGAGGAGAAGAAGATGGAGCAGGGGAGGAGAAGGGTTAGGAGGAAAGCGTCTTCAAGCAGGGGAGGAGAAGGAGCAGGGTATTCTCACAATTCCAGGCTTCCCACTGCAAAATCCATGGAAATCTGATGTCCTTAGAAGGGATTTTACATAAGCATTATTTTGGGAGACAATCCAGCAAAATCTATGGAGTATTAAAAATCATTGACTGTTGAATACCTAAAGATTTTTTAAGACTTTTTAAAATCTTTATTGAATACCTTGGAATTTTTAAAGATTTTTGGAAATCTAGATTGAATACCCTCAGATTTTGAAAGTCCAAAAAAATCCTGCACAGTCGGAATTGAATACACCCCCCTAAATGAGAAATATTTTTATTCATCTTTATGATGAATTAACTGGAAAATTAAAGCTTTAAATTTATGATGAATTAGCTAGAAGATTTAATTTTCCAGTTAATTCATCATAAAGATGAGTAAAAATATTTTTCTCATTTAGTGTAAAAACCTCCTATATCATCAGTACATTTCAAGCAAGGATTAGTGTTAGTCCAAATTTTTCGTATGGCTACATAAAAACCATTTTGAGTGATTGCAGGGTTGTTGATAACCAATTCTCAAAATCTCTTTTCTAAGAAAATAAAATCTTGAATTGTTTAAGCACTGAAACAATTGAATTGTTTATATCCAGACTTAGCACCATCTTCTCAACAAAAATCTCGTTCCACAATGCTGGGTGATGCAAGATAAATTCATGGCTTTCCCTGCAATAAAACACAAATTTTATATATACATACACACACACACACAAGGATTTGGGTCGATTCCAAATCCACGATTCTTTGAATGGAGTACCAAACATCATAGTTTTTAGAACCGGACCGGTGACTGAACCGGTCTCGGCACTGGTTCACTGGTTTATTGGTCGAACCAGTGGTTCAACTGGTCAAACCGGTGGTTTAAACATTCTTTAAAATTATATATATACACACACACACACACACACTCTCTCTCTCTCTCTCTCTTATTTATAAATACTTAGAGTACATAATGTATAACATTTGACCAAATCTATATTAATTTACTTCAGTTATGTCACTAAGTTTAACAATAAAATTTACATATCTAAAAAAACAATATTAAATACTACGGTATTTTATAAACAAAGAGTCGATTTTATTATTTTTCAAATAAATTATCTAATAATAAAAATACTGAAATGAAATCTTTGCATAATATTTCTAATTGTATCAATTACATCAATAATTCTGAGTTTAAATCATAGCTATAATATTATATTTTTTAAGTTCTAAAAATGAAAAGAAATCTTTAAACTTTTTGTTAATAATGTAATATTAAAGATTATTAAAGTGAACTTGTAACACAAAGACACTTTAGCTGAGATGGTTAGGGGTTTAACTTTAGTAGCATGAGGTCTTGGGTTCAAACCCGTGTGTGGTGAAATTTTTTGACGAAAAAATTGCAAAAAAAAAATGGTTTGGCCGGAGAACCGGCCGGTTTTACCCGGTTCACACAGGTTCATAGCGGTTCGAAGCAAGTTGCGGTCCAAGGTGCCGGACCGGACCGGTTGGACCACCGGTTCGCCGGTTCACGGTCCGGTCCGGTTTTTAAAACTATGCCAAACATAGACATTCGACCCAAATGCAAGATTTCAAATGACATCTTATTTTTCCAAGCATAATGATAGTGTATTTGATGGATGCGCAACGGGGAAATATTAGAATCATGTTTTTATAACTTCATGTTTAGGTAGGTGAGATATGAAATATAACCCGCAAATCAAGAAGAAGAAGAAGAAGAAAAGTGACTAACTTGTCCCAGAATGGATTGGTTCACTTGAAGCAGCAGCATAAGGAAGAAGATAAGGGGGCAAAATTAAGCTGGAGACAGGCTGATACTGCTGAACATAAGCTGGGATGGAGAAACCAAGGAGCAATGAAACTCCAACAATCATAACGTTTCGGGAACTTGTTGTTTGGGTATATTGTAAAGTTGATAAACCCAAAGCCAAAACTAGTGCCCATATGAAGCACAACACAGCAGCAGCCAATGCTTGTGGTATAGAAGCAAGGATGGCACACGCTTTACCTATCACATACGGCAAAGGAAATTGCAGATTACATAAAAGAACCTAAATCCCACTTTCCTATCCAAGAATCCAAGATATTCTCAAGAAACAATACTTTTTTAGAAGAAACAAGTAGTTGATAAATCTTTTTTAGTTGATAAATCCACTTTTCATTTTTTAATACAGATGGTTCGAACGTGTGTACCTAGAAAGGAGAAAGCAATCAAGAAAACTGAATCAAGTTCTAAGGCCCTCCGATTTGCTACCATGGTGACATCAATTGTGTGCACATTCTCTATCAATGTTGTTGCTCCAGTGCCTGTTCCCCAAAGCCCAGCCAGTACACTGCAAAACCCTTCCAAACCAATTCCTCTGCTCACAATGCCGGGAGTTGGAGGTTTCAGGTTGATTCTCATGGATGCAGAATGATAAGTACCAACCTGTTAAGTTTCACCCTGCTTCAGTTTCAAACCAAAGGTACATTTGGACTTAGGGATCCGCAAAAAAACATGGCAAAGAGAATAAGAAGGAAAATGTAGGGGAAGTTTGGAAGGAAATAGAACTTAGGGTTAAATGGAAATATTATTCACTTTCTTACAGCTAAAAGACTATTTTACCTTTACTTTTGCACAATTCACCTTTTTGACATCTCTCTTCAATCAATGTATTACACCGCAAAGGGAAAAATAAGAAAGTCAAATATTTTTTCATCTTGTACTCAAAAGAGTGCCAAGTCAAAACGAGAAGAAAGATATGGAACGGAGGGAGTAGTAATTTTAAAAGTTGTTTCTAAACATATCATATTAATTGGTTTTACAAACTATTATTACAACCCATGCATTCATTTTCCTTTGTGTGTTTTTTCCTTCCCTACCATTTTCTGGATTCCAAATATATCCTAAAAATTCCCCTAAAATGTACATCACAAAATGCTAAACAAGACTATCGATGAAGAAAGGAACCCACACTCACAGACACACAGCAGAAAGAAAAAAACAAAAGAACCCAACAAAAATATTCATAACAGGAAGTTGATCACTTACCGAATCAACAGTAGCAACTAGTGACACAATTATCATAACAAGAGATGTCCTAAGCCGGAAGATNAAATGCCCATGTAATCACAACACTTAATGGAACCTGGAAAAGGTTTTATTGTGATAAAGATGGAAAAGCTTATTTAGAGTGATCTCTCATCTAGCTTATAGTTAATAAAGGGAGACATTAAAAGAGCACAAGATTCATACCGCATAGATCCGAAACACTCTATGCCCAAAAATAGATATTCCTCGAAGGTACTGCAAGAGAATGAAAAGTCAACGACAAAAGAACCAGTAGGAAATAGGAACAAATTACAATGTCTATACTATATAGACCATTTAAAGTTTCTCACCAGCGTAAAGGCAAGACCAAGTAGTATCAGGGGAGAGCTTATTTCTATACAGCTACCAGCTTGTGGAAAGCCATAGCTGAAAAAAGCTAAGCCCACTGCTGCAATTGTAGGAGCAACCACGATGGGATTTATCAACCTGCACGATGGAATGGAATGTTAAGAAATATATCGACGTTTAAGCTATTCTTGTGGCAAAAACTTGTTCACACAACGAAAAAAAAGTCAATAAGATTTTCTTTTATTGCTGTGGCCCATTGCAAGTATATATTCTCTGCTACAGAACGACCAAAGGTATCACATTTAGACTTGCCTTACAAAAAGAGACATCAAACCAGTGAAGCCTAAGATACTCTGGAATACTGAACCCACTATAATAGCACCTTGTAACTCCCTCATTATGTGCCTAAATTTCTGAAACAAGCAAGCAAAGACCTTTGGGTTAGTGGGAAGTTAATGAATTTCAAAGGAAAAAGTGAGTGAAGATGAAATGAAATTGAATAAGAAGGATCACTTTCATGCAGGATAAATATAGAATATTTTCAATATCCTTTTCTGAAACTTCGTTTCACAAAGGTATTCATTGGCTCTCATTTTGGCCAATAAAAGGTAAATTTTATGAATATAATTATTCAAAAAGCACAATGTGATATGGCAGCACCTAGATCATTAAACATACATTTTCAGAAAGGTTTCGGTACTCCTCAGAATTCATGATCACCAAAGCAGGTGCCAGATACACAAATGAACTTCCTTGAACCAGTGGCAGGCTTGTACCTAAGTATGAGTGCAATACTGTAGCAAGGCCAGACACTAACAACGTTGTGGAAATCACAGTAGCAGTGTCTTTCTGTGGCATTGGAAAATGGAAAGAAATGATATTATCAAGAACTAAAACTTTTTTTTTAAAACAGAGTAATGTACTAGGCTGGACCAAAAGATCCTTACGTCAGTTCCACCCATTGCAGGCACAATGATCAAAGGGATGAAAATAAGTGATCCGACCAATGACAAGAAGTGCTGCAAACCATAGTAGATAAGTGGTGCTGCAGTAAAGAGACCATGAAAAGGTCAATACTAGTATACTACAATATGATTTCTCTAGTGATGCACTAACTTGACATAAGTTAACTTCTGATAAATCTTCCACAATACAATTCGTAGAGAGAATGGAGGAAGACATAAATTGTGATTTGTGAAGTAACTCTTGCAGAATCATTAATCTATAATAAGACGCTTCCCTTTGGCTTTTTTAGCCTTTATGGCTTAATCCCACGAAAGAACTTTGAATATAACCATCCAACAAATTTGAGTACAAGATATGGGTTAATTGAAAGAACTATGCTTATGCAATCAAACAGATATGACAAAGTGACATTATGCATACAATTTTGAATTCTCCTCCGCAGTGCACATCTCATAGGATATTACTCTTCTAATGAAATACAAAACCAAAGGCAGAAGATGAATAAAAACAGGCAAAGTATGAAACATAGAATAACAACAATAAGCAAAAAAAATGGAGTACAATAAAGAGAGAGGTCTACACTAACCGTAACCCGGATTGTCTCTTAGTCCACACTTAATTCTCGGAGACTGTTGCGGCATGTCATAAGCTGTATGATCCTCCCAGTCAGGGAACACTCTAATCCCCATTTCATGATCCACATTCTTATCATCTTTCTTCGGACCCAAACTTGAAGCAGTGGGCTGCACTTCACTGGAGTTACGAATTGGGGTCATCCCATTCAGACCATCGTTGCTCTCTTCATCTTCAACCTTCGATTCCTCCACTAGCTCAACCCTATTCCCTTCACTCTCACCCCCCAAAGTCTCATTTCTTTGCTCGTTAACGTTTACCCTACCGGCAGGAAGAATCTCAACCCCTCTACTCCTCTTAGTCCTCCCCAAAATGGGGTCAAGCTCGATCTTTGGAGACGCAAAATCAAGCTTGTCAAAGCCCCTCTCGAGTCCGACCCGTGCATTATTACTGGAGCCCAAATCCCTCCCGCTCAGACTTGCCGGGTCGGTCTCCCCGGAAACATGGGACACAAATCCGGTTTTCTTGGCCCATGATTTCAACTCTCTTGGATCGTAGCCTTTTCTTGGCACGAATGGCTCGATTTTGGGCACCCCGGCGGTGCTGCTGCCCGGTTTCTGACCCTTTTGCGCATCAAGCTTATCTCCCATCCCGAATTTTCCGGCAATGGGGATAGGTATTCACCAAGAAATTCCACACAGATTCAGAGCAGACACAGACACACAGTTTGATGTAGAGTAGAAGACGGCAAGGTGGGTGTAGCTCACTTCCCCACAGCTTGTTAAATAGAGCTCATACTCTATTAATAGAATACACAATTACGGGGTAAATAAAAAATTAATTTCATTTGAAACTATCACTTTGCATAATGAGTAAGTTTAATTTGTGTATTTTGTAAAAGTTTGCCTTGTGACTCTAGCATTAATAATGATACCATAGAAATATAATTAAGAGTAAATTTCATAAAAGGTCCACCGTTATAAGTCGTCTTACATATTTAGTCCATACATATCAAATATTACTAATTTAGTCCCCAATTATTATATTACTTTTTACGAATGGTTCTTTGTTAACGTTTTTGTTAAAAACATAGATAAAATTGTATAATCATACTTTTCTCTCTCCTCAATTAAGCTTCCTTCCTCCTCTTGTACTCTTTCCGAAACTCGTCGCTGAGTTTGAAGGTCTAAACCCAAAATTGAAATTATCACTCATCTCTCAATTATTAGTCTTCCTAGTGGAACCTAAAATCAAAACCAATAGGTTTTATGGATGAATTTTATCGGTTAGTCTCAAAAAATTACATAAAAAATAAACATTAAACCGATCCATGAGGGTTACTGGTTTCGAATTTTGGTTCCACCCATTCAACAAACAATTGAGAGAACAGTGATAATTTCAGTTTTGGGTTCAAAGCTTCAAACTCAGCGACAAGTTTGGGAAAGAAGTGCGAGGGAGAGAGTTAGCTTAATTGAGGAGAGAAAGGAGTGTGAATTTTCAATTTTATCCACGTTTTAACGGAAATGTTAACAAAGGACCATTTGTGGAAATGAATATAATAATTGGGGACGAAATTAGTACTATTTGATATGTATGGACTAAATATGTAAAATGACATATAACAGGGGACCTTTTATAAAATTTACTCTATAATTAATAAACGGAGACATGTATTTTGGTGAAATTAGTACAAACTATACAAAAATACTTCCTCTGTCCCCTTAAGATCTTCTCGATTTGACTCTTTGTGATTTTTAAGGAGCATTGAAAAAAGATATAAATTTACCAAAATACCCTTAATGAAAATAGATAGAGTATATTAAATGAGGTGAGTAAGGTGTAATAAATAAAGTAAGTGGAAATAGTTGTAGTATTTTAAATGTTAGAAAGGTTAATAAAAAGATCTATGATGGATAAATAAAAAATACTAATAAGAAGATCAATGGGGGACGAAGAGAGTATAACCCATTGTTCTGAAAATTGAAACGGATGTCGACCCGGACGAAATACTAGGTGAAGGATTGATTAGTCGAACTCAGGGTCTATGACCCAGTCAAATGTATTTATAATTATGATAATTTATAATTATATGTTAGATTTTTTAAGTCAATAAAAATATTTTAATTTTTTTCATCTAATTTTTAATATCATACTCCCTCTGTCCTATAATGATCTTCCCGGTTCGCAAAACGAAGAAAAATCCCATGTTTTTTCAATCTATTTTATTTAAATATTGGTATAGAAATAAAAAATAAAACATACATATTTAAAAACTACATCAAAAGTTCAACAAAACAAGTGGTGACAAGAATATTTTATTTTATCATATAGGCCATGAAAAAACACAAATAAATATAAATTCCCGTGAAGTTGGAATAGTGCTCTGGGAAGATTATTATAGGACGAAGGGAGTAGTATATATACTCCTTCCGTTTTTTAAAACACTTCCTCTTTCATTTTTTTCACTTCCAACAAAACACTTCCACTTTCTATTAAAAAACCACTTTTACCCTTACTTTTTCATACCCTACCTATCACATCATACTTTATCTCTAATAATCTATCCATCACATCTTACTTTTACCTATCATATCAAGGGCAAAATTGGAAGTCAACTACAATTTAACACTTCCTTATTTTTACACAAAGTCAAAATAGGAACACTTTTTCCAAACGGAGGGAGTACTATTTAACACCTTATATTTTCTATTCTATTATTTTTATTATTATTAAAAATAAATAATGAATGTCTAATAAAAAACCTAAATAATAAGGTGATACTCATATTTTCAAAAAAATAAAGACTAGATAATGTATTCTTATATACAATTGACATTTTAAAATTTATGTTCAAAGTGTAACCTAACTTGGCAAAAAAATCAAATTGAGATGACCTATTTTGGAAGGAGGGTGTATTTATCTTGGCAGCTGGGATTCAAAACCCACAATCACAATCCTCTGTCCTTCCATAGTTTATTTAAATTGTTTATTCTAAGTAAGCTATTGGTATTTATATAATCTTGTAGATCTATTGAGAGAAATCCAAGAAATAGTATAAAAAATCAAAAGCTAAACTTTTTTTTATCCCTGCTCCAACCATGATCTCATATTCATATTATACACTTTTCTGGTATTTTTTTATTATTTAATGATCATAAATATATTTAATATTTTTTAACAATAAATTTGAAATCTAATTTGGTTTTCCTTTGTGGATGACAAATCAAGAAACAACATACGGCGATTTCAAAACAAAAAAAGAAACATCCTACAATTCATCGCAGAAACAAAATTTGAAAACCTATGGTAAAAACATCATATGGACATAAGAAATGAAACACTATGATCTATAGAGATTGTATGAGAGAAAGAGACTTGGGTGATGGAGAGTGAAAGGAGACATTGAAAGAAAACCATACAAAGGAGATTCAATTCTCGCGGATGAACCGCCACCGAGTGAAAATCATACAAAGAATGTATATGGATTTGTAATTAAGCTATACCATGAGTGAGAGGAATTTGGCTAAAATTGAAGCCCAAATTTTTAGGATTTCCAAACATGGTATTTGAGAATACTTATATTAGTTGGGACTTCCCTCTCAACAAGTACAATAACCACCATTTAACAACGTAGCCTGGAGTAGAAAAGCATTAATGCAGTAATAATGATATGTTTATATGGGGCATTGAATTTCTAAAAGGAATTAAAACCCATGCCATAAAAGAGAAAGTAAAATTTAATGTGAGCATGTAATTGACTGATTAGAAGCTAGCAGCTTACATTTTACGACGCAATGAGTGAATGGTGTAGTACCTTCTGTCAAAGGAATACAACGGGCTTTAAGGCTCATAAGCTTGGGATCATCAGAGGAATCAGCAGCCATTTCACAATGCTTGGCAGCATCAGATACATCACACATCCATCCTGTTAATCAAAAGTACCAAGCACGACAGAGCATTTACAAACAGAATCACTTAATCCCAATATAAGAAAGTACATCTTCTCCTTTCAACTGGAATAAACTCCAATGAAGAAACTCCAATTGCATGCCTTCAAACATATCAATGTAGCAACACTTTCTGTCATAAGATCATAGTGTCATTATGGCTATTGTTAAGCGGGTGTGGTGATTTGTTTGAACGGTTCGTTTGACAGCTAAATTGATTTTAGAATTTCTTTTTGTTCTTAGAGTTTCTATATTTTAAACTTATTGGTCCAGCAATAGGGAGAGTGGCCATGGAGAGGATGGAAAACACCGACAGACAGCGACTAAGGAGCTCGATCTTTTAAAACCTTAGGTCTGGCTTCCTTCACAAAGAAATCACAAATTTGAAAATAAATTGTAAGCATTGTATTTTCTTCATGTGTTATTTGATTATTGACTTTTACTTGGGGAGTTTTAGACAATAATAACCATACAGGAGATAATTGTTAGAATATCCTCTTTATAAACATCCCACAAACACAGAGAATACAAAGAAAATGTGAAAATGATTATTGATGACTAAGGAACGTGTATATCAGTCATTAGATCTTAGTTTGATTATTCTAAGTAAAGACAAATAACATATTACAATATGTGATGTGGTTGATAGGTCCATTAGTTCATATATGCTGCGTTTGTTGTGATAAATAGCTGCAAGTCATTCATGGCCGGTTTAATATTGTGGAGGGGGTTATGGCTTGGTGATTTGACTCTTTTTATGCAATAGATGTTAAGAGATCATTGTTTTGATAAAATAGAATTCTTTTTGTGCGTTTATTTTCTTTTGTATCATTTTCTTGCTACTCAAGAAAAAAAACCTTCACACACCACATAACAAAGCATTATTCTTTCAAAAAACAATTGTTGATATGAGGAATAAGTTAGAGATCACAGAAATAGAGAAAATGAAAGACTTTAGACAGTCATGATTGATGAATTAATAGTACATTAAATTTTAGCCTTTGCGAATGAAATGAAAATGAGAATTTAAGAGGGAATATGTTTTTTTCATAGTTCTGGCACAACCTTATGTGTTTAGAGAAATACCAGACAATATAAAGTGCATGTAAATATATTACCGGAGCTAAGTTCTCAAACCTCCGGGATAGGTAGATCACAGATTCAGTTGCACCAAGAGGCCGGAGATCCTGAAACCAACCAAGCAAAGACATTAATCTAAGCTAAGTTGTGACTGTATCTACAAACTTGAGTCTTAATAAAAGAAAAATGTACGAAGTAGTAAACAAAAAATAGAATTGCAAATGAATAAAATAACAGCGTCAGGGCAATGTTCGAAATTGCGTATTGCGGTTTCGAGGCGTTTTCTGTTCATGGCGTATTGCGTAAGCCTCGAGGCGTATTGAGGCGTAAGCCTCAATTTTTAAATTGAAAAATATCCACAAAACAATCTAAAACTAAAGATAGAACATAATATATAACATAAATAATCCAAAAACATTAAAAAAGTATATTGTCAAAGTAATACATCGCAAACACAACAAAGTCTAACATGGAATAAGACATAATATTGCTCAAATTTATGAGCTTAAATTGAAGAATTGAAAAAAAGTTCATCATTGTCGAAATTAGGGATCAAAAGATTAGCACAACAATTATCAAAAAAAAGAATAAAAAAGAGATTAACAACTAAAAAAATACATCACTATCCAACTACTTGACAAATAAACACCCATTATAAACTCCAACCGTAAAAAAGGAAAATTGAATGCTCGTGTACTTCATAAAATGATAAAAAAAACTAATTAAATAAATTTAACAAGATAATAAGTTAATAGTAGATTATAAATCCTCCGGCTATCATCCATCCATTCTTATGCCATTTTCCGGAAAATGAAGATGCACAAAAGATGAATAGCACATGCTATCGCGATGGAGATGAATCACAACTTGAAAATCTCAGCAATTAGGGTCACAATTAAGGTCATCGACTAGGTAATTTTAAAATATATACACTTAATTGAAATAATTGACAACTTTAACCTTTGATTTCCTAAATTTTACACGCTAAATTGCGTATGCCTCATTGCGCGCCCCAGTGCGTACGCCCCATGGCGTAAGCCTTTAAGCAAATTGCGTAAAATGGCTAATTGCGTGAATCGGGATTCGCACCAGGGCGTTATTTTCTGGAAAAAGTTTCATTGCGCGCCTTGAGGCGGGTTTGGGTTCCGCCTTTTCAAACATTGCGTCAGGGTAACAGTCCACCAGTTGTCCTGCACAGCACTTTCTGTGTATCTTAACATCAACATCTACACTTGGGATGGTTGTTGAACTAAAATCTATCCATAGCCTTAATAAAATCTATGCATAGCCTTAATAAAACATATCAAACATAATTTAGCAGTTAGAATGTCTTGTTTTTTATTACAACCAAGTCCTAAATCATACTAGATCCACATTATATTACAACCGAAACGTAGGTAGTTGCCTTTGATAAATCACATCATGAGATGATCTTCCTAGCTAGAATGCTCATTCCCAATTTTGATTGTGTTAATGTAATGAAGTTTACACTTTCCTTTTTTGTCGATTTCAAAATAAACTTCACACTTTGAAACAATGATTTCATTTGAGTTTTTGGATTTCAAATCACAAAAAAGAGCTATATGAATTTGTAATTAAGCTTAACCACAAATTAGAGAAATTCAGCCAAATTCAAATACAAATATTTAGGATTTCCAAACATGGAGTTTGAGTAAAATTTGGATTTGAAATCCAAACATGGAATTTGAGACAACTTAGATCACATGGGACTTTGCTCTCAAAAAATCCAATAACCAGCATTTAATAACGTAGCCTAGAGTCGAAAAGCACTGATTCAGTATATAATGATATGTTTATACGGAGTATTGAATTTCTAGATAACATACAGCGAGAGCCTAGAGTGGAAAAAAACTCGTGCTATAAATGAGCAAGAAAAGTTCAACGTGAGCATGTAATGGACTAATTAGAAGCTAGCAACTTACACTTTACGATGCAATGAGTGAAAGTCCTGTCTGTCAAAGGAGTAAGACGGACTTCAAAGTTCGTAAGCCTGTATTCGGTCATCTTCAAACGCTTGGTATCATCATAGCAATCAGCAGACATTTCACAAAGCTTGGCAGCATTTGATACATCACACCCATCCTCTAAATCAAAAGTACCAAGCATGACAGAGCATTTAGAATGACAATCTGTGAATCCCAATATGATAAAATATTTTTTATCCTTCAGCTGGAATAAACTCCAACGAAGAGGCTTCAAAAGTTCGCGCCCAGGCAAATAACTGGAGAGACCCTTGTCGAAATGAACTGGAAAGGATTCAAAATTCGTGGACAAGAAATTAATCATGGAATCACCCCTCATTGGGTCTAGCACCACACCATTAGCATTTTCTTCGAGTAGATGGAAGGACGGTCCACAAAATTGTCATTTATGGAAGGGATGATGAGTATCAGACGGAAAGGAAATCCTTTTCCATACATCGCACTTGGCATTGTACATAAGACAGGAACCGTGAACGGCATCAAAGAGAAGGATTTTAGAATCCCCAATAACGGTGTGAAAGGAGATGCGCAGAGTATCCGATCTTACCCACCAAGAAGCTGGGGAGCGCAGCACTTTCCATCCATCACAATCAGGGGTGAGGACCTCAAAAGGGTGATACGAGTAAAGGTCAGGTTGAAAACCCCATTTTTCAGTGCCGGGGCTAGAAATCACATAGAGTTTACCGGCAAGAGCGAAAGCGTNAAAAATTGGATGCAATCGAAATCAGTAACGTGGTACACGGAGGAATCCCTTGTATCGGCGAAGAAGACCTTGAGTAGGTCGCGTGATTGGATTGCGAAGCAAATCACACCGCCGTCCTTGCACCACTTCTCCCACGCATCGCTCGGTAATCTATTCACCAGGCAAGGCTTCTTTTCATCCGCACGACTCTTCATCATAACATGATCAAGCTTGAAACACAATTCATCATCGTCAGGCCCAGGATATGTACGGAAGGATGGTTCTGTCATTGTTTCCATCCCTGTAATTTTTTAGTGCAAACCCAAACCCTATCCCCCACCTCTCTTTCTCTACAAGTTCGTAGCGGAGGATTAAAAAAAAGGAGGAATGAGAGGGTAGGAGTACCCAACACCATCAATCTTAATTCAAGGATCCGGCTAAGGGCAATTCTAGTGTACACCTACCCATTTGTACCTCCAAAGCAACAGAGAAAAGAATAAAAATAAAAAAGGAAAGAAAAATATTAGGGGTAGTGGTACACCAAATGTGTACTTCATTTATCTCTCACCCCCTTCTTGTCCACAAAAAAGGTAAGAAATTCAAAAAAAGAATAAATAAAAATAAAATTAAAATGAGTGGTGGAGAAGGGGGTGATGTACATTTGGGTACACCAAAACTCAAAAGGAAATGGAGAGTAAAGATGCATGTATGGGTGGACACAGTACCGGTACAGTATCGTTACCGATGATGATATTGTCGGTACCGCCATTGGAGACGGACACGGACACGGTACTGGTTCCGATGCTAGTTTTTCGGTACCGGCATCGGCAGTATCAGTTCCGGTCGCGACCGTTTGAATTTTTTTTTCTTTTGCTTACTTTGTCAGCCTTTTGGCTTTTGCAGGTGGGAGACTCCTCAACGGCAGTACCGGTTCCGGTACCGATCTTCCTAGCTAGAATGCTCATTCTGGGTTAATTTAATCAATAAGAAGCAAAAATATCCACACCATGAAATTTTGAAAAAGAAAAGAAAATCTTTTTTATCTGCCGCACTATGAGACTCTTTGGTGGTCCAACAGCGACAGCTGGGGGAGACTCCTTTAGTGCTCCAACCGAGGCAGCAACGGCATGGGGAGCCTCAACCGTCTGAGGAGACTGCTTGGGCAGTCTAGTGTCTGCCAAACCCTGTTTCTTCTTTTCCATTGATTGCTTATTGTCATGCATGGATGCCCAAGCTACAACCACACCAGCAAGGGTGCCTAGTGTCCCAACTAAGCCCATCGATGGGTTTTCGTGGATGCAGTAGCAGGAGCTTGAAGCAGTTCATCATTCTTCTTTAACGTTTTTGTTTGCCTCTTCTTTAGTTCTTCCATCCTTTTCATATGATGCAACGAAGCCTCTTGAAACTTCAGATTGATAACCTACAACAATTTTTAAACATAAAAAAACACTTAAAAATCAAAGAGAGAAAAATGATACTTGAGAAGCATTATATATAGTTACCATATACCTTGATGTATTTATCAAGGTCAAAATCTAGAGCAGAGTCTTTAGGTGTATCCTGGAAAAACAGAAGCACAGACCAAAACCTATATAAAAAATCAAAGATACAAGATACAAGAAAAAAACAGATACCCAACAAAAATATTATTCAGAAACCCTAATAAAAATCAAACGCCATGATTTGTCTAGATCATCCACATAGAAGAAAAATACATTTTTCAAAGAACAGATTTTGAAAGAGATAATCACATTTTGGGTGACAAATATTCAACTTACACCGGTCAGAATTTGCTTATTGGAGTCGGTCTGCTTATTGTTGTGGCCAGACATCTCTACACTCCGGAATACGCCAACAAAATGCTCTGACGACAACCGTGAACCGTAACGTTCTCTTACCAACGTTATGGTTTACCGTTGTCGTCGGAGTGTTTTGTTGGCATATTCCTGGTGTACATCATCTCTATAAAATTACTATCATATCCTCTCATGAATGCGAATGGATAGGTGTGTATATGGTGAGGATATAATGGTAATTTAAAAAGCTAGCGTACACCGTGATGCCTCTATATAGCATTCCTCATTTCTCTCCACACATCATCTCTCTCCCCAATCATATTTTGAACCTATAGATGGAAAACAAATCTTAGAGATGCTAACGTGTTGCGGTCGTTCACGATAACACATCTTCCAGAGGTTGGAAGAAAAGCGATCACAATTTAGAAAGCAGCATTCCAAAGGACCTTTTCGCCCTCACCACACCGTCGGTGGACCTCCTTTATCCGACACTACGGCCTCAAGTATAATAGTGGGGACCTTGTATAGACCCTTTTCGAATGACTGTCTCCATGCAACTGGACAATTCTTCCATTCCCGGTGCATGCAATCAATGCTCCCTAACATGCCAGGGAAATTACGACCCTCTGCAACAGCTAATAAGTGATCAACATCAGATTGATTAGGACGTCGTAAATATTGTTTCCCAAAGACATCAATGATTGCTTGGCAGAACAACTTAGTGCACTCTAGAGTCGTACTAGAGCCGATCTTTAAATATTCATCCACACAGTCAGCAGACACACCATATGCCAACATCTTCATAGCGGCGGTGCATTTGGTAAGAGGTGACAACCCGGCTTTTCCAGTTGCGTCAAATCGTTGTTGGAAGTAAACTGAATGATTTCCTAAAGCCTCTACTATGCGGAGGAACACGTGCCTTCGCATTCTGAATCGACGACGAAATTGTCTAGCATCATACACTGGGTCTTGCACAAAGTAGTCTTTCATTAGACGATCATGAGCTTCAGCCCGAGGTCTGTCTGTCAGTTTCCTTTTCTTTCTTGTTGATTGTTGCATAAAGTTTTCATGTTCAATCTCTTGTTGCGTCACTGTCACTACGCAATTCAGTAACATTATATCTTGTTCATCATCTGAGTCATATTGCTCACTCGGGGTGGTTGTCGGTTGGGGCGTTTCATCAATAGGCCACACAAAATTCTTGAATTCAGGTAACATTTGTGATTCTTCGACTGAAAATGGTCTTGCCATCGATATGAACCTACATAAGTTAACATACAACACAAATAAATATAAGAGCTTAAACACCTTAAATGGCAAAAAATTAAACCAATGTATACAAGGGAGTTCTTATAACAAAAAACATGCAATTCATGAATAAAATTTTTTAACAAATAAAAGTCACAATAACACAAATGTCTAAACAAAATTGAGATTACAATTGTAGAATTTAAATTAATTGTATCCCCTCTTCCTCATAACCTCTGCAATCCTATCTTCAAAGTATCGACGTCGAAAGGGATCTGAGATGGTAGATGTATCTATCATCATCAGCCTATCTTCGTCCGCACGAGCACGAGCTTCCTCTGCATACATACGAGCTTGCTCCGCCAAAATGCGTTGCTCTGCCTCCCTTTCTCGAACTGCTACAATGCGTTGTACTGCATCTGTAAGAGCAACCACATGAGGGGGTGGCATACTATTCTCTCCTTGTCCATTTCTAAGTCTCTTTGCAGCTTTTCTGCCCACAGGTCGTCGTAGATTACGAGCAATAGAATCGATATCTGTGGAATCAGTTTGAGTGGCAGGGGCTGTCGGCGTGGTTGGGCTTAGAGTTGGGCTTCTCGAGTTGCCTAAGGGTAATGAGCCTTCAACATCAAATTGCACATGAGGGGAGTTATGGGAAGAGTTTTCGGGACCAACTACTAAGGAATGCCAACATGGAACATCCCTTAGTTCACACCACCAGTATTCTAAATTAAACTTCTTCCCGTATGATGAAACATAATCCCTATGAGCCATCATAAGAATGTCTGATTCATTGGCTCCACTCGGATTCAATCGAGTAATCTTCTCAACACATGCAAAAAATTTACTTACTTCTGGTTTTGCGCGTAACCATCTAGAGTTGATGACCTTTTGTGTTCTAGGTTTAATATGAGAGGGAAGGTCTAGGTTGTAGTTCTCCTCAACTCGTCTCCAAAACCCCCCTGCTTTTTGATCTGTGCCAATGATTGGATCCATGCTTACATTTATCCAAGAATGGACCAATCGAATATCTTCGTCATGCGACCAATTTGTTTGTTGGAGAGGAAGAACTTGTCTCTTAGGAACACGCGTAGTTTGTGCCATGGGTTGAGAATTGCATTGTGATTCATTGTTTGTAATCTCTCCCTGGAGCAATAATTCAGTGAAGCTTCTACCATCACTCTCCATTTAAACCTACATATTTGCCCAAGTCAATGCACAAGCTAACTTACTGTGAATGAACTCTTTGTTTAGTGTTGGACAAGTCTGTATGCTACTTTGTTTTTCTCAATGCACAAGCTAACTGAATATGAATGAAACTCTCTAATAAGTGTCATGTACAGTTTGTAATACACAGGGGAAGAAGAAACCAGGAACCGATAAGCACGATGTGCTCTCTTTCTTGATCAAAGTGAAGGTAGGATGCAAAAGAAATGAACATAGACAGCTTTAGTGTTCAAAATTCTGGCGCAAATTGTGTTAGGAAACCTCAATATTTTACATGGACAAAGTACGAATTCATACATGAAAAATGGTATCTCGTGTGGAGTGTCTGGCCATGTTCGTTAGCTTTAAACTTTTCAGATATTCCAAAAGTAGAAAAGTTGCATCTATTAAGTTCTATTGCTGAATTAAAAAGATAGTTTCCTCCCTATGGGCTGTACATGTATATCAGTTTGCCTTGTGCATTTTGGATTCAATATTTGAGTCATTCACATCCAGTCTAGTGTTTGGGCTTTTGAAAATATTTCCCTCAGCAAGGTTTAGCATGGCTGATTTGTCCAGGATTTGAGGCAGTACATAACTTCTAAAAGTTCTAATGACATATCAACTTTTTAAGTTTTTTAATTATAGCAATATTATTCCTTGGCAGTTCAAATGTCATTGAGGAAAAAAAAACAGCCAGGTACAATCATCATCAAACATATATCAACATATATCAAAAATAAACCTCTGCATTTCATCAATTTATTACCCGTTTTAATTGGAAGCTAGGTTTAATTGTATTTCTCCAACAATAGTTTTTTTTGTCCAAATACTCAATAACCTACATTTGGACATTTTGTCAAACACCTAGTGTGCACTACCATGAATTCATCTATTTGATTTTTTGATGAATTAACAACAATCCATTCGACCTAAAAGAGATCAAACAGAGAGATGCAATGCAGAGCAATCAAAGCTAGAGATGAGTGGAGTTACCTGAGGGTTGCACGTGAAGGATTATGGCCGAAGAAGAATAGCGCAGAGAAGGGAAAAAAACCAATTGCCGGAGAAGACTAGCGCGGAGAAGAGAGTGACCGATGATTTTCCCAGAGAGTAATTGTATTTTGCTGCTTCAATTTTGCCTCGCATCCGCCACGCAAAGCGAAGTGCCTCGCGGAATGCCTCGCGAGCCTTTTTTTTTCCTCGCCCGCTGCTGCGCTTCTCTCTACACGAATGGCAGGGCGTGGCAAGGCTTCTCCTTGCCGCTGCCAGTGCTCTTAAGGAGCCTCCCACTTGCAAAAGCCAAAAGGCTGACAAAGTAAGCAAAAGAAAAAAAATTCAAATGGTCGCTACCAGAACCGGTAGTGTCGATGTCGGTAACGAAAAACTAGCACCGGAACCGGTATCGTGTTGGACGGTATTGGTACCAGTTCCCGGAACTGCCATCCTGTGTTCGTGTCTGCTCCGATGGCGGTACCGACAATATCGTCGTCGGTAACGATACCGTATCGGTACTGTGTCCACCCCTACATGCATCTTTACTCTCTATTTCCTTTTTTTATTTGGGATACGGGTGTACCCCAAATGTACACCACCCTCGCTCTTTACCATTCATTTTATTTTGTTTTTATTTTTTACTTTTTTTTGAATTTTTCTAGCGAATGTTTGGGATAAACTTTTGGTGTACTTTTGGCATTTTTCTTTTTATTTTTATTCTTTTCTCTGTTGCTTTGGGGTACAAATGGGTATGTGTATCCTAGATGGACCATGCTACACACCCCCACCATTGCTACCAACCTTGCCTCCACTCATTTCTCCACCACATATTTATCTCTATTCATTCTCTCTCCAACCTATAATTTTATTTTTCTTTACCTCCCTACTCCCCTATGGGTTATTTAGCATCTCGGATTACCCTTAGCGGATCCTTTTTAATCCTCCGCTACGAACTTGTAGAGAGAGAGAGAGGTGGGGGGCTAGGGTTTGGGTTTGCACTCAAAAATTTCAGGGATGGAAACAATGACAGAACCATCCTTCGGTACATATCCTGGGCCTGACGATGATGAATTGTGTTTCAAGTTTGATCATGATATGATGAAGAGTCGTG